TCCAATTTGTCCATGTCAATAAGTAGGCAATCAGACAGGACCTATGTTAACAGTGATTCATGAAGGTGTCCTCTGGACTACACTCTGATGCACTTCTACTTCGCTACCAATACATGTCCATGTTGCAATTTAGTAATTTAAAAAAAAAAAATTTTCTTTGTATTTTTGATAATCGATTATTTGTTTTCATAATCGATAATCGAATTTGAGACTATAATCGATCGATTTTCGATTATAATCGATCATCGGGACATCACTACACATTGTGTATACCCCAACACTAATTCACCTCCAAACCCTAGCTTACCCTAACCTCAACCTTCAGCACTCACAAGCTTTAGCCACTGCTGCCTGTAACCTATATATTATCTACAGGTGTAACCTATATTATTTGGGCTGCCAACATTGAGTTAGAGTCGAGTGAGATTATGCGAGGGAGCAGAGCGACCGAGTGGGTGGAAGGGTGTGGGAGGGGCCCCCCCTCCGACACCAGGGAGCTTTTGCATTTTTCAGCTTGAAATTGTGCATTCTGGTGCGTACTTAGGTGAGTTTTTAAACATGCACATGTATGTAATGCAATACACTGTAGTTCTGCTTTTAGATGGATTAGGTACATGTATATATATATTATATATATATGGATGGCTCAAAACAACACATGTATCACTAGAACCTGCTTGGAATTGTATTTATATGCCCTCTACTGTTCGGTCCTTTATTCTGCTTATAAGGTGAGTCAAATTCAATCTGTATAACAATGACTTATGTTATGATTCTTGCATGGCATATGACATCCCAAAGTAGCTATACACCAGTATTGGTATTAGAATCAGGTTACTGTATACGCTGTATATTTCGCAGTGGTTTAATTTTAGCGAATTTCGCGAACGCGTCCCCGACCGCGAATAATTCATACCGAATAATAACGAATATTTCATAATTCACCGACCGCGAAATTAACAACTTGCGAAATTGTCCGTCAAGTCTGAATTCGCGAAAATATCTGTACGCAAAAAATATGGCGTATACAGTATTTGCTCCTTCAGCTGCTTAGGCGAAACTCACATAAAACTGTACTCATTGGTAATTAAGGATGGGATCTAGCGTTGCCGAAAGGAGGTGTTGATCCCCTCCTTGGAGCGTTCATTGTATTCCCGGTAAAATTATCGAGTGGTCGCTGGCAGCTATGGATTCGTGCGCCGGCCTATGCATTCGGCGCACGGATCCATAGCTGCCAGCGCTGCATACTGTCGTAGGACGTTCCCGCGGTCGCGTGCGCCTTGCCGTGGAACTGCGCGCAAGATCTGCGCTTATAGCGCTTGGGATCAACACCTCCTTTCGGCAACGCTTCTCTAGTATCCCATCTCATCTGGATAGCAACTGAGGTGATGATGGTGTAGCATATGCCCTTACTGCCTGCAAGTAAGATAGTAATGATGCTCTTGTATTATGCTTGAGTTCAGACATGGCTGCCTGTTGTCTTGCTTTCCTGCTATATTCCCAAGGTACACAACACTTGTGCAGTACCTTATATGGACCTTCCGATAATACATTTAGCAGGGATGCGATCATGCAAACATTTCCATGTGCTTGGGTATTTATCCCAGAGAAAGAAGAAAAGATATAATATAGATTCACCCCAATTTCCATTGCAAGTAGCATCTGCCCGTGTATACCAATTTTATCCAATTACCTTACCTCACTTATATAATAAATAAATAAATAAATAAACGTTCGTGTGTGTGTGCGTGCGTGGGTGCATTATATGGCTGTAAAGATTGTCATTGGTGCAGCGCATATTACTTGACATGAAGTACAAGTCATTTCGTACAGAAAATTAATGTTATGCACTGAGCAGTGCTGCCACCTATCATAAACGCTGTTTCCCACCACAGACGGCTGGTATGATGTACCGCAACAGGTTTGAACTAGTGGGCAACCGAATGCGCTAGACCCTCTAGAGTCTCGATAGCGGATAGATATCACATCTGAGAATTGGATTGGTGGATTTCAATCAAGATGTAAATTGATTGATTTAATTAAATCACCTCTTAAAAAACATCGACACTAGTGGCCGTAAACGATGTGATTTTGAGAAGGGCTTTACGGCCAATGAGTGGGGCATCACGGCAAATGGCCGCATGGCCACCGTGTAATTTGAGCACTAACTTACAGATAATGAAAACACCTGAAATGTAACAAAAAACTTTGTGTAAGTGATTTGATGATGGCAGTGACAGCTGCCATCATCAAATCACTTACACAAAGTTTTTGTTGATTTTTTGGGTTATGTCTGTGCGTGCGTGCACGCGCCTGCATGTGTGTATGCGCGTGTTCTAGATAGCAACTCTGGTGATGATGGTGTAGCATATGCCCTCCTTACTGCCTGCAAGTAAGATAGTAATGATGCATAATTCAGAGCGTTGTAGTAGTTAATTGTGTACTTCATTGTTTTCAACAGAATTCTGTATTCAAGTGAGAGTAGAGGGTCAACCGACTATAGAAGCATTGTTTGCGTTACCCAATACCTACCCAACTACACCCGCAGCTGTGACATTGACTTGCCACCAGCCATTATACTGTGTGATTGAACTACAATCAAAGGCAAGGGGAAAGATCATTAGATAGAATTGGTTATTAAAATTCTATAAGTGACTATAATATAATAGAATAGAATTTGACTGAAATTTCAAGACTGTACATGGAGTGAGTTTTAATGTTGCCTATATACTTGTGCAGGTGAATGAATACGCACGGACATTGGCAGGGGAGGCAATGTTACTGAGCATCATCCTGTGGCTCCAGGATCAGTTGCAAGGATGTCAAGTGGACACCGTCGCTAGTAGTAGCCATAAACAGAACAGAATCTCAGAGAGTGGAAGATTAAACGATGCAATTACAGAGGGCAAGAAACTGCAATCGAGTGAAGTAGAGAAAAGCAATGCGCCAACAGTGGATTGCAGCGAACCTGAACACAAAACCTCTTGTCGCCCCAGCAACGTCCAGAACAGCTGTTTGCATCTGGCAACAACTGTGCTGCACGTGGACCATATGCGAGCAAGGGCTAAATATGTGAGGAATATTCAGAGGTGGATAAAGGAATTAAGTCTTGTTGGGCGGCTGCTGTTTTATGGAGAGAAGAGACCGCTCATACTAATCTTGCTACAGGGAACTGTTGATAATCTGAAGGTAAATAATGGAATGTTACTTGCTAAGTAAAATTAGCTAGCAGTTGTCAGCGAGTGAACATATCATCATTCGGGGGGAAGAATCGCGAAAAGGTCTCGGTATGTCGAATTTGGGGGTGAAGGGTCAAAGGTCAAGATGTGTCAATGGAGTAGGAATATTTCCCCCTTAACTTAAGGTATGAGGAAATACGGAATTGCGGCACAAATCTCAACGGCTCGACCTACGCTCGTAATATTCGATGTAAAGTGTGATGGGGAGGAAACCCATCACCAGTGCGAAATTGGAGGTCATAGGTCAAAGGGCAATGGGGGAAAGGTCAGATATCAGACATTTTCTGAGGACATTGTCTAACGGACCGAGTGCAAAACTTGTTTGTTTCAGCGCTGACCTACCATTTTTATCACTTTATTGAAAGGACCATGAAATGTACGACGTGCGAAGAGTAAGTGGCTGATAACCCTTTGACCCTCAAGAGGAGGGTTAAACATGGATTTGTTCATTTTGTTGACTGTTAACAAAGGACTGAACTACTTTTGCTATTAGATCTGTATTAGTAGTATCCTAGATATATGCTCTGAGCGCGAACGCGGTGGAGGGAGGGCGCACTTGATTTGGTTGCCAGTGAGTTTATCAGAATACCCGGCTACAGTACACGTCAGTTGAGCGCTGTCGCTCTGTGGCACTTGTTTTGAAATTCAGTGACAGCAGTTATTTGTCGCACCAAACGTGTGCGATAAATACTCTTCCCCCATTCACAATTTAATCTATTCGATACTCGAAGCTCTAATAAGCAATTGACAAGGTTTTCTGTTTATATAAGGTAACCTGTACAATGCTGCCAGCAGCCTGCTGGTCATACTTATAATAACTGCAGCCATGTTTTTTACCCAATTTGCGAGGGAAATACAGCTAAACATATATGCTTTTCATGCAGAAGTATATGCATCTACACCGGTCGGTGTGTGTGGATGTGGACTCGGCAGGGCGCAGTTGCAAAGAGAGAAAGCTCGGTGTGCTCTGCCAGTTGCCATGTGCTAGTTTAAGGTCAGTGGACATTCTCGGTTGCTATTCTTGTTTTGGTATTTTCTTTGCCGGTTCAAGCTGCGTCGTAAATCTATTTGGCAGCCGGAGTTGTTGGCATTTGCCGAGAACGAAAGTGAGAGAGACAGTCTCTCGTGACGAATTAGGAGTTAAAGGCATGATCGACGGTGCTGGGTCGCTGGTACAGCCTCACAGATTTAAATTAGTCGTTTGTAGTTTTACAGATTTTCGAGTGATATCTGTGACGGATGCACCAGCATTGCAGCGGGAGTTGGCTTCCAGTGGACACGCTCAGATTTACAAGGAGCACGTACTGCCAGTGTTGCTGGAAAAGCACTAAAAGCGTTCTGCGTTTGATTCTTCAAGAGTGTGCGGGTGCGCCTGGCCCGACAGAAACATTTACGTGAAAAATGGCTTAACCCCATGTTATGGGATTCGTGTACTTCACGTAGCTGAAAGGCACAGGGCAGTGAAAAGCTATTCTTCCGCTCTACATGCACCAGTCCTTCGCCCATAGCCGCTCTTATCTCAGGAGAACTCTGCGAATGAAGCAAAAATAAACGTGCGAACTGACTGCGTTTTTTGTTGGGCATTACGCTCTAAAATTGTCTAAAACTAGGTCAGTGTGATCTAGTTAAGTTCAGTTTGTGTATATACGAGACCGAAGCAGCCACGGGTTAGTGATCTGTGAGCATGCACTGTGAGAACAAGTTTACTGTTATTACACGGGCTAAAAGAAATGAGGGTTGAAAGAAATTAGGTCGTTTGAGACTTTTGTAGATAGCGTAGAACACAGATTCTTTCAGCTCTCCTTTTTTCTTCTTCCCCGCCCTCTCTGTAGACGCAATAACTTTCGTTATTCAATTAGTTTCTTCTTGGATGCCTCTCTAATTCTATTTATACCCACACCTCAACTGTGATATTTTAAGATATCAAAGTACAAAGTAGCGGCGACCTTCAGCATTTGTGATCCTAATAGTGTTCATTGTATCATCCGCGTGAACAGTCTCTGCAAATCGACTGTCGAATAGATTGAAAATTCCATTATAATGGTGAATAATAAATATTTATACGTCTGACAAAAGAAAAGTGAAAGTGTGGCTAAATAAAGAGCTAGAGCAATGGGGGGGGGGTGCGTTTTAAAATACCAGATATTTGGCTTTCATAATTAGCCCTGATGGCCCATTCGTGCCCCCTCCCGTAGTGTGCATCACATGTTAGCAACGTGGCGACAACGTGCGGGAGGCATGCTAATGTGCATCCTACTCCCCACTAGTGGTAACATGTGCAAACGACTTTGACAAGCTACTTTGAAAGGCGTTTTTCCTGCATTCCGAGCAATACAATCTATATTTAATATTATTTATTCTACGAAGAAGGGGAGTTGAGCCAATTTGATTTGAGTTAATATATTATTGGAGGCTGTATAAAATTAGGCAGGGATTATGCAGGGGTAGAAATTAACTTTTGAACACGGGAGTCCAACGAACATCCTACCCTCAAAAAGAGGGAGTCCGCAGCAAAATGAGGAAGTCCGCAGTTTGAGGTTCAAAATTAAAGATATTAACAATAACGCATACATGTGCTTATTTTGAAGATTCGTGCGGTTGCACGTCTGCCCAATTTTCCTTGGACATTAGGTGAAAAAATACGGTAATTCTGTGAGGCCGTGCTCTGGAACGAACTAGTTAGTATGGCAGAATTTTCAGGGAGTCACACAGACTCCCGTAAATTTCGCACCCTGAGTATGTACAATGTATACACTCTGCGTATCCTCTTGTTCTGTTTCACGCATACAACAGAGGTGTTGTCGTGTTCACTCACCGGAGAACGTTCCAGAGTAGACGCCCTTGCCATGTGCCTTCAGACTTTCTATGATCGCACCGGCCGGTTGAGGTGGGGTCGCCGTTTCCTTCTGCAAACAGAGGCACGCCGTGGGCATCATCACGAAATCACTTGTCATTCTATTATTAGTAGTAATGATATTTTCGCACCTCATTTACTTATTCCGATCGTTACTATTGCTACGCGTACATCGCGAACAAAGGTTATTCACTCCAAACACGTATTACATGCAGGATTACGCTTCGCGAAAACCATACGCGAAACTGTGCTGCACGAGTGTTAATAACTTAATCGCACTAGCAAACGAGTACGTATACAAAGCGAAACCAACGAGCGAGCGTACATAAATGTAATAAGGGGATCCTATAACTCTGCGTTTCATCTTACACTCACTAATAGCAAGACGGAATACACTCACGCTTGATATGTTCCCTGTGTCTGTCTATTTAGGTAGAACCAGTATACATAAAAATAATAATGTTAGTATCTAAACATTGAAATGAAAACACGTGCTCGCGCGGCGGTTTCGTAAGTGTTCGCATCTACGACCCGAGGAACTAAAAGCGGCTGCGCGTAATTTTTGCTCGCCTAAAATAACTCATTCTTAATTCAAGCGAATGAAAAAGTCTGTAGAACATTACTTTTTCTAGATCTTGTCTGATCTAATTTTGGTAGGACGTAGATTGGCATACACGCTACGATAAAACGCACCGCTTTTCCACTAGCCGCGCTAATTGTGTTGAGATAATTAGACACTAAATATAAAAATAATATGCCAGCAGGCATTGATTGGGATAATAGAGATGATGTATATCACGATTTATATCATTCGTATTCGTATTCGTATAATTCCTGACAGTGTCGCTTTGGCAATTTTCAGCTGAGCCATTTTAGCTATGAAATCTCAGCATCATCACAACTCTATTATATCTCAGACATTGAATGGGATAATAGATGATGTATATCACGATTTATATAATTCGTATTCGTATAATTTCTGACAGTGTCGCTTTGGCAATTTTCAGCTGAGTCATTTTAGCTATTAAATCTCCAAAAACCGGTGATCGCGCATTGACGTATTGGAAACGGCCTATGCAACTAATACACCTGCCCACAACGGATCTGCATGCATTGTGGGTGGTCACACAATATTACACAACAACCATTACTGCTGCATATATAACTAATATATCGTTCCGTAAATACGACGTTTTGTGAACATCGAAAGTTTCATGATGCTATATATATATATATATAAAGTCAAGGTATAGAATAGTATATTATGTTGTTTTTATCTACACGGGTGTTCGTGTGTGACTTTACTTCTATATATATATATATATATATATATATATATATATATATATATAATATATATATACATTTTCGCTTGGTCTGCTGTTCGTGTGCTTCAATTCAGTCGTTTATATAACGCCCACGGCCTGGCAATAACGCCATCGAAAAAAACACGTCATCGCTTACGTCATCGCTTACGTCATCGCTTCGCAGCGCCAGCTAGCCAGCTATTCAATCGCGCGACCGGAGTGGGTTAAAGCGGCTCTGCCGACGATAGAATGACGCGCGCGCTCGCAGCAGCAGCAGCCGGTGCGTGATGAGCACGCTGCTGCTGCGCCCACACGTTGCACACGTCACTGCTGCCTGGCTTCCCGCGACCTCCCCGCAGCAGCAGCAGCAGCAGCAGCGAGGCAGCGAGCGTGCATGACTCATCGTCCACCCACGCCGCGCCCGCTCGCCGGCGTTGCGATCGCTAGCAACCAGGCCGTGCTCTGGAACGAACTAGTTAGTATGGCAGAATTTTCAGGGAGTCACACAGACTCCCGTAAATTTCGCACCCTGAGTATGTACAATGTATGGCAGTCAGCTCTGGCAATAAAATCGATTCTCAATATCAATATTATTAGCTTATTTTTTTAAATCTCGGTTATTAATTAACTAATTAATCTCCTAGATAATAACTAGTTTATACAAATAAAAAGGAAATATCTAATTTGAATGACCGATGTTCGTGATAGTGTAGTTTTTGATGGTGACATGGTAGCAAAGAATCGGCTCCCCGGTGTTACCCAAATCCGCTATAGTTACGGCACAGACGTACAAATAGATTATTACATCATATGTACTAGTTCGTCTGTGTGTAGATATATATATATATATATAATATATACAGTGCACGAAATTACCGGTTCAACCCCCCATATAATCGGTCCACTTGGCCTATTCAAAATTTTGCCTACCTTGCCTTTATATATGAACAATATTTACCAATTTCCTGACTAGTTTTTACTTAGTGACTACTAAGAAGTAAATCATGTTCCAGCAATTCCTGTCAAACAAGTAGAACTCCACTGATAGCAATGAAATACTGAAATACTACGAGTATGCCTAATAAACACAAAGAGCTCTAATACTTGTGGAATGGAATAAATTGTTCAAACAAAATTAAGGGCCTGTTCAAATTTGTGAGGGCCTGTTCAATTTGTCTAAGGGTCCGTTTTAAATTTTGGGTGGGCCTGTTCACATTTTGGCTAATTTCATGCCCTGTGTATATATATATATATATATACAGACTTTGTCATTCCCTATATCTACGGTCTGTGGTTACATGGCGGCTGATAATTCGGTTGCAACAACGCACACACGCCAACATGCAGAGAGTGAAAGAGCAAGGTGCTGGTAAGCGCACGTTCCTTCGGAGGCGGGAGTTTATTCTAACCCAGGGATAAATGTCGGGTCAACAGCACACGGTAAATGAGCGACGACGACGACGCGAGCACACGCAAGTGGAGTCGCCATTACCACAGTGAATCGGCTAGTGGTAGATTAGCTGAGCCGAATCGGGACGGAGGCACCGGTGTGCCAGCTCAGAAGCAAGCCAGCGTGAAAGTCTCACCTGTGACTAGCCAGTGAAAGGTCACCTCGCCGTGCACACAACAGCCGATACACCATGACCGTGAAAGCGATTACAAATGGTCTGAAGTCAACGTCATGTGGCACGACGAACCTCCGCCATCTTACTGTGCAATAAGTCACGAGTGAAGCACTACTGCAGCAAGAAAGCATCACAAGTTACCCTCTCCATTATCATAGCCACCTCACGCATTCTCAAGGAGACGTTGCTACATTGCTCTACTGATTGATGTAGGTACTGGTTGAAGCAAATTCATGACTAAGGCACGAGGCTGATTGAGTTTTGCAAGCAATAGATCGAGTGACGCAAAATATATTGTTTTTAGCAAATTCCACTTCCCAAAAAGCACAGTACTGCTATTTGCATACCCTATTCCTTATGCCAGTATGCCTAGATATATACATTCATAAGCCTGGTATTAATTCATTAAGTCTATGAGATTTGCTAAATGAATAAATCCCTGTTTGAATCAAATTGTATTCCAAGCAGATCTATGCTTATACAACGATTTATGACAAGTTAAATATAATTCGAACAATAAAAAATGACCGGCTTAAGGTAGCATATAATGGGTTTACATTAAATCGATGTGATTGACTCTAGGATTAGGTGAAATAAATTTAATGTAATTTTATAGCAATAAAAAATATGCTGAGGTAAGCAGAGGGTATTAGAACATAATAAAAACAGAGATAGAATGACATCATATTTGGCACCAAATGACATGACCCTCAAAATAGGGGCAAAAAATGTATTACTTCATTCTTATAAATTGCAAAAATCTATATAATATTAATAATAATAACAATAATAATATAATGTATCTGATTAGTAGGCGTGAATAGAAGAGCGCGACTTCGTAGTTTATTATTTAACGATTAAATCAACTAAAATACTGTGGTATCATCAACTCCTAAGCTGCATGCGGGCCATATAGGGCATTATGGCAGTTTGCCAAAAATGACTAAAACGTTGCATGCATAATCTTCATCGTCTGTTTTTATCCCTCATAACTGCTGACATCGTCACTCCGGCAACCCCTACAAATACAATTTTGAATTTAAGGCCGATCCTAGTCAGCTGTTCTAGACCTTCACCTAGCAACGGCCAAACTTGCCATCATGTCTCTTATTTTTTTGTAGATGGATTACACTTTGCGAGTGGCATTACTCACAATTCAGCTGTATACTATTGTGTGCTCTACAAGTGATCATCCAGGGTTCTCCCTACGTTGCGCAAACGAGGCGCGCGCGCCCCGTTTGGGAAAACTCCCCCCTGTTTCAATCGTTGCGCCCCGTTTAAAATACCTCCGCCCCGATTAAATTCCACCACAATAAAAGTTTGCCAGCGACGGAATCGATCGTCAAGAATTCCCATTCGACCAGGACACCCGGCACGTGTATTTTTACCGTGCCACGCATGCACTGCAGACAATACACAAGTACAAACAGTCAACCTGTCCCACAGCCAACACTAACTGTACACCGACTCGGCTATCTTATATATACAAGAACCCACCAACCTCTCTCTCCCTCTCTATCTATCTTATTTTCTCCCTCTATCGCGCTCTTTCTCCGTCTGCGCGCGCGCGTGTGTGTGTATGTATGTGTGTGTGTGTGCGTGCGTGCGTGCGTGTGTGCCCCAATCACATTGGTAATTCCAATGTTTTCCTAATTCCTATGTGTATTCAGGTTGCGCGGTGTGACGTATTGGCATTTGCTTTGTGTGTGTTGCCTGCGCTAACTTCCTCTCCACGCCCACACCCCGACTACTCGCGTTCAACGCTCTACGAGACGGCAGCATGCACCCGAATGGATTGATTTTTCATGAATCGCCTTCGTTTACTGGAAGACTGCAGTTGGATTTCTTCAGTATAAACCACACTTGAAGACTGCAGTTGGATTCCTTCAGTATAAACCAAATTTGAAGACTGCAGTTGGATCCCCTCAGTATATACCATTCGGCAATGTTTCAATAATATAAAGCCAACAATAATAAAGTGGCGTATCCAATAATAAACATACATCTTTCGCAAATTCACGTTCAAGGGTGCACGCGGCTGAGTAACGTTGGTTTCATTTAACGGTTTGCTAAAGCTAATAAAATGACAGAAATAGTGGAAGAGAGAACGGGGTGCAATAATCTAAAGAAGCTGTCATTGCTGAATTGTCTGATACCCAGTACGGTCTGCGGTTGCCTCGCGAGTTCATCCACCGATACGAACAAGGCTTTACAACAAATAAGATTTAGCTGTGTTAGTTGGGGGCCATGCACTCACTCGTAGTTACACTTAACTATGGTCTGGCTACGCGGCGAGTGGAGTGAATATAGAGTAAAGGGCCTCACCGGTCCTTCGGGTGTGTTCGACAGGCGCTTCAACCTGTGCGTCAGATTGCGGCTGGCTTGTTCAAGTGCCTTCATGTCCAGCGTGGGAATCGACGACGCCGGACTCGTCGTCCGCTCGCTCGCAGCCAAAGACACCGACCGAGGCAACATTGGCGGCGGCGATGACGACGACGACGCTGATGATGTCGACGGCGATGACGACGACGACGCTGATGATGTCGACATCATCGACGACGCTGACGGTGACGACGGCATCGACGACGCTGACGGTGACGACGGCACCGACGACGCTGACGGTGACGACTGCACCGACGACGCTGACGGTGACGACAGCACCGACGACGCTGACGGTGACGACGGCACCAACGACGCTGACGACGGCCTAGGGGGCGCTACCGTGCTGGTACGCCGCAGCCTCGTGGCGCCAGGCACCATCGTTGAGAGTTGCAGCTGGACGAACATCATGTGATCTTCGAAGCGCCAGGCCAAGGTCAAAGGGGACTTTCCCGTCAGGAAGTCGTTCACCTGAATGCAGAAGAAGACGAAATTCGACTGAGTTTGCGCTCGAAATATTGTTGAACTACGATAACGAATCGAGAGAATGCTCTATTTACATCGGCGTAACGCATTTAATTTATTTTAGCTCCCCCACCCTCGTTTGATTTAACGTTTGCTTATCTCAGATTCCTCATCAGAGATTTCCAGGATTCGTTAAATACATTAGATTACAATCCCATTAGCCTGCTACTGAGCTCTTGATCACATCGCATTAATTTTAATGCAAAGGTATAGATTACGTTCGCCATAGCATAGTCGATGCTATCCTACGTTACGTATACACAGGGTTAATAAATCGTTAAAAATGACGCTGGCATCGCATGCCTCGCGGCTGTGCGTTAACGCGGCAATGTATTGTTGCTCGGCGCAGATGAAATATTACAGTCCTGTCCACAGCGGAGGCGGTGTGGGCGGAACGTGAACAATATACATGCTCGGTTCCATAAAGAAATTTCAAAAACATCATGCGTAAAACTGTTCGTTTAATGATTTCTTCCCACGCTGGCGCGGTGACCATTGTCGTGGCCGGACGTTGCGCGAAATGAATATCAAGCAGATATGTGTTCACTCTCGGCATATAAGAACTGCAATTTAGTTTATAGCAGCCATTTATGTGCTATCGACGTAGGCTACTCCATGAGTCGTTGTTCGCATCGAGCTTCTGAGAGCAGCCACACGGACGTTTAGAGTCGGTTTATGATTGAAGTGCATAATTCAAACGAATTCCGCCGCCAATGCACAAACGTGCACACGCACACGTACGTATGAAGGCACGCACATACACAAGCTAGCTACAACGTGCGCGAGTACATACAACCAGCATCGTACTCAAACGAGCATCGCGCATAGGCGGCGCTGACAGCCATGTATAGGTGCGCGTTCGCCGCAACGTACGCGAGCGCAGGAAGGCGCTGCATCGCTTTCCGGCCAAGTTATCCCTTTAAGTCAGCATCAATGCGCCAATTTCATCCCCATCAGCGCGCCGGGACTTTCCCACCGGCGTTTTACAGCGGCGCGAAAGCCTGCGCTGCGTGCACGCGCCCCTCTCCCGTGTTTCACCCCCCGTCCGCCCCCGCCCCCGCCCGCACCCGCACCCACCTCGCCGAGGTCCGACGCAAAGCGTTTGTCTTTCAGCACGTCGGCGTGCATTCTGGTCGGCGGACCACGCACAACTGTAAACAAAGGCCCAAGCGGCCGAGCCGACCAGCGCGTACACAAGCGCCAGTTGGCATCGTCAGACAGTGCGCTTTGTCTAACGGCCGGCAACGCCAAGCCAACACTCGCGGGCGCGAGGGAACACTAATAGCGCGCTGGCACCGGCACGCCTTCGCCGAATTAACCCCTTTGTGGCCGTGAGAAACGCATGATACTACGTACCCGCATTTAACGCGCACTCGCCGCCGCGGACAGGAAGAGCGTTTTTTTCTGGCGATTCGGCGTTTAATTGCGCGTATTTCGCGCACCGGTGATTGCAATATGCACACCTATCTATTTGTCTATCTATCTGTCCGTCTGTCTGTTTGCCTTTCGGTCAGTCAATCTTTCAGTCTTCCTGTCTGTCAGTCGGCTTTGTGGATTTACCAGTCTTTTGTGTGGCAGGGAGAGAGAATGGCAGATGGGGCGCGCGCGCGAGAGAGAGAGAGAGAGAGAGAGAGAGAGAGAGAGAGAGAGAGAGAGAGAGAGAGGAGGAGGAGCGCGATTGAAAAAACGGAGGCATGTAGTGAGA